CTTCTCATTCTTACACGTCATTTATTATTTTATTTATTTTTCTATATTTAATCATTTCAACTTTATAATTATAATTTTAGTTTTAAATAAAAATAAATTGAAATAGTGAAATAAAAAAATTGAATTATAAAATATAATTTCATTAACTAATCAAAATATAAATTCATAAATTGAAATAGTTTATGAAACAAATAAGATTTCATAACATACAAGATTTTAAATGCCAAATATAACAACAATTAATATAGAGTAAATTGCAATTTTGGTCTTGTAACTATTTGAGTCTTGTTAATTGTAATTCACGATTTTCAAAACGGTTAATTTAGTACTTTAATTATTCAATTTTTATCAACTTTGATCACTCCGGCTAAAACTCACTGGAAAATTTTAATAGTTCAAATAGTAAGGGTATTTTTGTCTTTTTGCATCACTTTTTATTTCTCCCCCATTTCTTCGCCAGAGAAGCTGCAAATTCGCAGGAAAGAAGATAGCCGGAGAATAAGAAGCTGCTTTAACTAGTCCAGCTCGTCGGCATTTCCCATGAACAAAACCTCATAACTTGCTACGTCGGTTGCTCCCGAAAACGGTATCGAATATCAGTTGCATAAACTAAGAAGAAAGTACTCGCTCCAAATTGGTGTCGAGAATACGAGATAAAAGGCGTGTGAGGTCCGTCAACATCCATTTGGGACACCAGAACTTGCCATTGTAAATCTTATTGTACATGACCATCATAATCAGATTGTTGAATGGTAGGAATCTAGTGGGGAGCAAGTAGAGAACGACTCCACGCGACCATACATCGACTTTGGCTCCGTCGTAGCCTTTCTTTGACAAAATCTCCGGGGCGATGTAGGTCGGCGTTCCGCAAAGCGTGTGGGGTCCGTCATAGCGGATTTGATCGGCGACGACGCTTAAATCCGAGACTTTGAAGTCCGTTATCGTCGAGGAGGAGATTCTCTCCCATTGACCACATACATCATCTCCTTATTCTCCGACTGTCCTCTTTCCGATGAAGAAATAAACTACGGTGGCTGCGGCGTGTTGGTCAAAGAAGTGGGTGGCGACGGGTATGAAGTTCTGGTCGCTGTCGTGGTGCCTTGTTAGTTGGAGATGGCAGAGCAATGGTGTCTTGTTGGTCGGAGATGGCGAATATATACAAAAAGACAAAATTGCCCCTTAGATATAAGATTAATTGGCTAATTAAAATTTTCCGGTGAGATTTGGCCGACAATTTGTCCGGACTGATCAAAATTGTTAAAGATTGAATAGTTAAGGACTTAAGGTACTAAATTAACAATTTTAAAAGTTGTGAATTGCCATTAACAATACCCTAATACTCACAAGATCAAAATTGAATTATTTACTCATTTATATAATTAAAAGTTTTTAAAATAAATTAAAATTGAGATATGAAAAATAAAATTAAAAACAAAATTAACAAACATCCTCAATTGCTCTGTGTGTGTATATATATATATATATATATATATATATATATATATATATATATATATATATATAATCTTAAAGATTGGAATGCCAAAATTGATTCTTAAGTACTCATATTAAGATAGTTCATATAGGATTAGCCAATACAGAGCCGGCCCAGGGGCAAGGGCCCATAAACACCCCCCCCCCCCCCCCAACATACACACACACACACACACACACACACACACACACACACACACACACATATATATATATATATATATATATATATATATATATATATATATATATATATATATATATATATATATATATAATTATTTTTAAATACAAACCCCCTTTAAAATACAAACTCCCCTTAAACTACAAACTGTGTGCATGTAAGTATGTTAATGTGTGCACGAGCTAATATCATATATTGTTGGCAGTGTGCTCAGTGTGCTTGTAAGTATGTTAATGCGTGCACGAGCTTTGATGGATGGTTGTGATTTTTTCTCCTACGTGTTGTGTGCATGTAAGTATGTTAATTTGTGCATGAGCTTTGATGGATGGTTGTGATTTTTCCTCCTACGTGCTGTGTGCATGTAAGTATGTTAATGTGTGCACGAGCTAATCTCAGAAATTGTTGGCAGGGCGCCATGTGTGCATATAAGTATGTTAATGTGTGCACAAGCTCAAGTTTGAAGTTTAAGGAGGGTTTGTATTTAAATGCAACCCTCTATATATATATATATATTACTTTTTTTTTTCTATAGAGAGAACAATCTCTTCCGAGAAAGCAAAAAAAAAAAAAAAAAAAAAAAAAAAACTCTCTTCCCTTGCTCAGGTGTTTAACTTTTACACTTAAAAAAAAAAAAAAAAACTATTATAATCTACCCATAGAATTAATTTCACTTTTGGTCCCACGACTTTTGATGTTCTATCACTTTCGGTGCACAACTTTAAAATTTTTTAATTTTGGTGCCTAACTTTGTTATTTTTATCAATTTTGGTCCTTTCGGCCAAATTGACAGCGAAATGTTGTTGGATTTTATATTGTTAGGGGTAAAATCGTCATCCCAAGGAAACATCTTCAATATCTAAACAAAATCACCGTAAATCATATCTATAGGTGTTTGATGATGAGAATAATGGGGAAGATGGGCAGAAACCAGATAGATCTATGGGATTTATAGTTTCGACCATTGGCAAACTCTTCTTTTCCTCTTAATATGATTTTTCTTTTGTTTAAATATTGAAGATCTTTCCATGGGATGACGATTTTGCCCCTAAAATATAAAATCTGAAAATATTTTACCATCAATTTGGCTAGAAGGACCTAAACTGATAAAAATAACAAAGTTAGGCACCAAAATTGAAAAAATTTAAAGTTGTGCACCAAAAGTGATAAGAACTCAAAAGTCGTGGGACCAAAAGTGAAATTAATTCTCTACCCATATAATCCATGTGTCTATCACAAAATGCATTAAGACTTGAGTATTATAAGGGTGATTTTTTTATTTTTTATTTTTTGAAAATAAAGAAGCTAATTCATTAACCATAGGCTGAAACGTTTACAATAATGATGACGTCAAACATTCCTTACATTCAGACATATAAACAACTTTCCTAGCAATATTACAGAAAACTTGATTCGCAAAGTGTTTCGCAAATTTGAAGCTGAATTCTTTCGAGGAACTTAAAGCTTCTTTAATGATTTGGTCAAACGTACCCAAGACTAATACTGGTCGAATAATATTGCACACCACCTGAGTATCTATATCTGTTGGGCGTTGGCCGAGTTCAGTCCCTGCTCGATTCGAGACGTGGCGTTGTGGCTTACTATGGAGAGATGTGGTTAAATGGTTAATGTCCACCTACTTATCACCAATTGGTTTTAAGTATGATATGACAACCAGGTATCATAGAACTCTGTGGTTAAGTGTGCTTGACTTCCAGCAATTCCGGGATGGGTGATGGAAGAAACTCGTCAAAACAACGAGAGGAATAACACAGAAACTACAAACAAAATTAAACCAGTAAAACAAGTAAAAGATGGCAGCAGGGGGAGATGATTAGACGCCGTTTCTGTGATTCTCTTGCTTCAAAGATGGCTGCAGGGGGAAACGATTAGACGCCGTTTCCGTGATTCTCTTGCTTCACGGAGACAGACGATTATAAGGGTGAAATTAGTTGAAAGAAAATGTATATCATAATAGTAATAAACGCTTTTATAACGGTTTCTAAACTAAGCATCTATACAAGTAGCAATGTTACTTTTTAAGTTAATAACAAGAGTGGTACAGTTGTATTTATTAATTTACAAATAACTACTTTTGACTGACAGTGCAGACAACTAGAAAATAATAAGACAAGAAGATAATTTTATGTTAATGTTCAATTATTCACACATTTAAGCCTCGTGCATTTATAGCGTATTAAGATAACAGAGTTAGTTATGATAAATAAGTTACAGTTATGATACGATGGTTAAACTACATTTCAATTGTAACTTTTTTTTTTCTTTTGAAAGGTAAAGTTGTAGCTTTTATTAAAATAAATGTTCAATACAATTAGGAATCATAGATAGCCAACACAAAGGACCAGACTGTGAACGGGTAGCTTTAGCAAGAGTATGAGCATACTTGTTCGCTGATCTCGGAATAAAGCGAATAGACACTGATTCAAAGTGTCGTTTTAGAATCCGGCACTCCTCCAAAATACATCCTGCATATGAATGGTCACGTATTCACGTACCACACTATCAAACTAGCTGGTTACCATATGACAATATGAAAAAATAACCACGTTATTCTCTCATCTTTTTTTTTAACCCAAGATAGTGCTTCTTTCACCGCCATAGCTTCAGCAAGTAAGACATCATTTAAACATCTTATATTATCATTTTTTTGCTGCCACATAATTACCTGCTCCAGTAGTCATATAAACTCCAAAGAAAGCCTTACCCTCCTCCGCAAAAACTGCCGCATCTACATATAGGAACTTCGCATTTGGCAGTGTGTGTAAATCATTCGCCACAGGAGGAATTACGAGATGGCCTGACACCTGATATGCCGTGATTTCCTCCCAAACTTCAAGCACTCTGAATATTTCCAGTTTTACCGTATCTGGACGCCACATCTCATTAGTCCAAATCAACGCATTACGGTGCTTCAACACAACCCAGCAAATAGCTAAGCATCGGCTAGCCATCAGAACATTCGCCGCTGCCAACCATCTGGACATGCAACCAACAAATATATTTTACATAAGTTTATATTTCAAATAATACCCTTCACATAAGGTGTGTTTAGCACAATAAAAAATTATACATCTAAATTATCTACTGCTTTACAAATTACAATGTCAAAAAATTTACGATGCCAATCGTGTTTCCTCCACCAAGTACAACCCAAAAACTTGTGCGGATTATACAAAGCATAATGAAGACATTGTGTGAACAATGTTCACATTACAAACCCAACATTTTGATCACACTTTATAATTTTTATAATTTACATAAATAAAAAAAAAATTGTGGGAATCTTTAAATTTCATTTTCTACATAAACTTTTAATAAAATTAGAGTTTGGCACCGGTGTTGAATCAAGTTCGAACCTAAGTGCGGCTGAGCTAACGACAGTACAAATTCGCTTCCTTGCTTCGGTTTTGGTAGTTTAGCGGTCGACCTCTGTGTAGTAGACTAAGAATAGTAGGCGGTTGAGGAGGAAAGCAAATGTTCCGATCGACGAGTTCCGGCTCTAGTAACGGCTACCACTACGACGGCGATGGCGGCCACCATGTGACCGGCCGCCGTGGGCGAAGGTTGAGCCGCGGCAGATCACGCGCACATGGAAATGGTAACGGTAGCGTCGAGAGTGGGGCTAGGGTTTCTCATTGGCAGCAGCAGGATGAGGGAGAGAAGCCTACCCCTCCTTGTACGGACTTCGACAAGGCCTACTTTCACTCCTATGCTCACGTTGGCATTCATGAAGAGATGATTAAGGTGAGGTTATCTCTGCTCTCTATCTCTCTCTATATATATGTAATGCTGTTATACGCTCGCCTTTAATTGGAATTGATTTTTCAAATTCTTGTCGTAGCTTTGATATTGGCTTCATACTTTCATGGTCGATTGAGTGTGTTTGTTTTGAACTATTTTTCTTTTGCATTAATGGAGATTGCTTATTTTCAAATTCATCCTCCCACTTCAAACCAAAATAATTCTTCCACAAAAAAGTTGCAAAACTTTACAATGAAATGATCCTCCAGAAAATAAGACCAAGAAGTCACCACCACGAGTATGTATACATGTATAATATGTTTGTGAGACTGTGTTTGTACTTACCTTGAATTACACAGGACCGCGCACGTACAGAGGGTTATAGGAATGCAATATTTCAGCATCAAAATTACATCGCTGGAAAAGTAAGATTAAGCATAAGTGGTTTATTTTTACATTTCAAAGTTTTTGTACTCTTGCCTGTTTTAATTATACAGTTTGGTGGGATATATGATGACCACTAATTATCATTTTGGTTTAGTATGTCTACAACTGTTTCTGTAAACATTTAATCTCTCCGTGCATTCTATTTCAATTGCTGGGTTAGAAGTGTTTGTTGTATATCTTTTCCCAGTAGAATTTCTGCTTTTGCTTATGCTATCTAGTTTTGAATAAAATTTTCAGGTTGTAGTTGATGTTGGTTGTGGCACAGGTATTCTCTCTATATTTTGCGCTCAGGCTGGTGCAAGGCGGGTAAGACTTTGTATAGTTACTTTTATAAGCTGATCAAATGATTCATACTTTGCAATTTAGATGACTGTTCAGCCTATCAACTAGATAAGCAGCTTGTCGTTGCTTTTCTGCGTTAAAGAAATGCGTTTATATTTGCACCTAAGGAAATCTAGGAGGAAGTGCTCCGGGTACATGCATGCATTCCCATGATTGGGATTACACCTAAAAAATTCCTTGCTTGTAGGACTTGGGAGCTTCTTAAATTGTTTATACTTGTATTAATTGTAGAAAAATTGTAAATTCTAAACAACTTTTCTGATTCATTAGTGGCCTCTTTATATATATATATATATATATATATATATATATATATATATATATATATATATATATATATATATATTGTGCATCACTAAACACTTCTGACTGCAGTAGAATCCTACCCGCCTCTTTGTCTATATACTGAATGTACCAACTCTTCTGAGTTTCATGTTTGTTAATACTCGTCATATTTGGCTTCTTTTTGTTGAAATCCTCCCAATCAACAATCCTTCTCTTTTCTTCCTTCTCTGGTGGTGGGAATCTTGGGAGATAGTGCACCACTTCAAATTCTTTGTCCTCCCCAACTTTTATATGATGAGATAAAGGGAACTTTGTGCATCAGCCCCTGATTTGTTGATATTGGATGTTGAAATGACCACTTTCAAGTTTCAACCATAAAATATTATCTGAACTCTGAAGTGAGATTTGTGAACATTGAACTTTGGTGCATCTATTACTATATTAAAGTGAAGCTTTATTTAAAGTCACATAGCAGCATCCCTTACTAAAATCGGTGATTTTCCAAATTACCCTTGTTCTTCATAATAATTGTGACCTGTTATGGTTGACTGACTAATTTAAACACTATGGGTTGTCCTTGTTAGATTATGCATTTTCCATGCTAGACATTTGTAATTTGTTTACAGATCCTTGTCTTCTTGCGGAATAGAAAATTCATCTTTTTATTCAACTATTTTTAGAGTCATTTGTTTCCCTTAATCACTCAAATGCATGAATCTACTATTGTTTTTCCCAGGTATATGCAGTAGATGCCAGTGATATAGCAGTACAGGTAAATTTTCTTTCTAGTATCCAAAGTATGTTTGGATTTTCCCTGTCCAGTTGGCTGTCCACTGTGCAAACATAAAAGATGAATCAGTTTCCTTGTACTATCCTTTCCTGTACATCTTTTGTTTAAAATGGTTTTTTTTTTTTTTTTTTTTTTTTTTTTTTTTTTTTTTTTTTTATAAGCCTATTGTTTCCTGTATGTTTAATAAGATTGGTTGAGAAAGTCAAGAAATGCACTACAAAATATGGTAGCCTCTCTGCATTGTCAAAAGAACACAATACTGGTTTAATTTGAAAAAATGCATTTATAAATTATAAAGATAGAAGTTGTGCTTATAGAATAAAGGATTTTGAAAAGTTATACTTGAATATGAACAAATAATATAGACAAGGGTATTGTTTGCTTGTTTTTGGTCATGAACACAGACACAAAAAGATAAGTAAGATAGAGGACACAAGACATGGGGACATGATTATAATTCTCATATATAGGGTGAAGAATGTTCACCACAACAGAGTACTCAATGAAGAGAATTTTACAAAATATTTTAGTCTTATGAAGTAAATTAAATCATGGGATAGATTTTATGGCTTTATCTACTTGAATTTGACCTCAAATTTAATTAACACTTAAAATATTTCTCCAAATCTTTCCTGGTTAAGAGTACACATTTTCCACATAAAACTAAAGCGAACAATGGGACATGAAATTTGTCATGCCTTGACACATAACCCCATCACCTTGCCTCCTGGGTGTCTATGTTTGGCACTAATATGACAAGAACATACATGGCCTTGAATGTCCATCCTTTCTAGATCCTTGAATTACTATAATAATTGCAGAAGTTACTAATAACTTGGCTTCTAACTTCTAAGACATGCATAACAAATACAGTAGGTGAACATGAAATGCCATAATTCTATACTAGAGTACCAATTCTATACCCTGGAAAATTGATTAATTAGGACTTAATTGCTAACCAATCTTAAAGTAACACCCAAGTATGGACCTTAGTAACATTATGGTGCTATATATATATATATATAATAATTATATATATATATATATATATATATATATATATATATATATATATTTCTAATTTTCATTTGCATTTATGAAGAATTTATTTTTTTACCTAAATTTAGTTAGTAAAATGAAAATTATACATACATGTTCTGCATATTTTACTCCATATTTACCTATTCAGTTCATTCTGAACTATCAAGCATTTGGATAAATGTATGAATGTCTGTGCTCATATTCTGTTATGTAATAACTAATAAGCCTATATCTAATTTGATTGATTTAGTTCTATCTGGAATAGGTCCTGATTGAATTAAAGCATGCCCCATTTTTTATTTAGTAAAGAATTCTTCTCTACTGTGTACTTTTCAAATTCCCTTTAACCTCCTCCTTTTATATTTTATTTATTTATTTTTTCACCCAGTTTTCTATTCCTTTACATTTCTTTTATACATAGAATAGATTCTATAGACTATAAAAATAGACTATAAAAATTCCTAAAGTCATAAAAAATGCAGAATGAATAATGAATATAGTAAAATTCTTACGAATAGGGCCTTCTCCTTTTATATTTTATTTATTTATTTTTTCACCCAGTTTTCTATTCCTTTACATTTAATAGCATCAACAAAATTAAAAAAAAAAAAAACATTATCCTGTAAATGTAACAGAAATCTCACCCCATTTTAATCTTCTTTTGAATGACTCATCAGGCAAATGAGGTTGTGAAAGCTAATAACTTATCTGACACAATTATTGTGCTGCATGGGAGGGTTGAGGTATGGATTACTCAATGTGTTAATTGCTGCTATCCTTTGGAAAGAGTTTTGCAGCTATTTTGTTTATGTTATTTTTTACTTTTAGGATATGAGTTTATTTACTATCTAGCTACATTAGCAGGCATCTAGAAATTTTAAGTTATTCATGCATTGCAAAGAAACTGCTTTCTGAATTCTGACACTTGGATAATAAAATATCTTTCTATTTTGTGAAGGAGTCTTTATGCAATTCCTTGTAGTATTTGCCTATTTGGTCATCAGTGTTGTCATGCGTTGACTTAAAAAATAATAATATTAGACATAATGTACTTGAATGTTCCATTTTCTGTTCTGGTATTTGCGGAAACACTGAAGTTTTGAAGGGATCAAGACCCATTTGCTAGTTAAATACCCTGAGTCTTAAAATTTTTTAGTGTCAAGGGAGGGCCATTACTGGCATATTCCTTACTTTACTAGCCAATTTGTTCCTTTTGATAGATGGTTGCGGACTTTGTATTTGATCATTTTCATTCTGTAATTTTAGCCACATTTGATTGTATAATTTTAGCTGCGCTAAGGTTATTGCAGGATGTTGAAATAGATGAAGAGGTTGATGTTATAGTTTCAGAGTGGATGGGTTACATGCTTCTCTACGAGGTGCTTTTACAAACATGCAGATGTTATATATATATTCATAATTCACTGTTAGTTCTATATTTTGCTATGTTCTTCTTTTGCGGTTTCAATACTCTATATGTATCTCTCATATCAAATGGGGTTTTTGCTTGTCTTCTCTTTTAGAGCATGCTGGGGAGTGTCATCACTGCTAGAGATCGCTGGCTGAAACCAGGTGGTCTTATTCTTCCATCAAATGCAACGGTATTCATACTGATTTCTCATTTTTTGTTCTTTATTTTTCCCATCTATTCATCTGTATATTATACAATTATAGAATGCTTACTTTTTAATTTTAGAGATATTCCTTGGCTTTGTATGAGCATATTCCACTTTGTGGTTATTGGAGTATTTGTGAAATTGTGCATTACATACCACAACCGTAATCATAATATTGTAGTTGCTCTCAGTTCTATGAAGAACATTAGTGTATTTTTATAGGCCAGAAGTGTATCTTTTGATGGTCGGTCATCATTTAGATAGGACATTTTAAAGTGCATATTGCCAGGAGGGGTGGTTTGAGAACATGGCGAAAACTTTTGCTATTGGCCATGATTGCATTTAATTAGTTATGACCATAGGACTTGGGATCTGTAACGACTGTAAGTATATGATAATAAGTGCTCTAATTCACTTTTTCACGAAATATTTGATTCTTATTACATACCTATCTCTCTGCAGTTGTATATGGCACCTGTTACACATCCTGATAGATACAATGCAAGCATAGACTTTTGGCGCAATGTCTATGGGATAGACAGTGAGTATATGCAGTAAGATTCATATGCAGTTTGTTCTTTTGAGCATGCATTTTCTGGATGCCATGACTCTTTAATTGATTGAGCTCTGTCCCAAACTTAACAGAGCTCCTCCTTCTGAATGTTATACACTTACACATCTCCTTCTGGATGCCATGACTCTTTAATTAATTCATATGCAGTTTGTTCTTTTTTGAGGAAAACTGTCTCTGTTTGTTTGGTATAGACATTTTGGCATCTCTTTTTCTGTTTATATGTAGTTTTCATTATGATTTTTTTGCAGTGTCTGCTATAATGCCATTAGCAAAACAGTGTGCATTTGAAGAGCCATCTGTGGAGACAATAAATGGTGAAAATGTCTTGACATGGCCACATGTGGTGAGTATGCTCCGCTCAATTCTTTTTGTGTTCATTGTGTTTGAAAGTTTGCATAATTCCTAATGTTTTGGCAATTTTAGGAAAACATTTGCCTATTAAAGTTAGTCTGAAGAATTATGTGGATTTGTAGCACTATAACCTGTAAATTTGCGGAGGCATTCTCCACTGAATCTTTGTTGACATCTATTTATCTTGGGTTTTATTCACGCACTATTTATGTAATTAGGTTCACACTTTATTCTTTTAAATCTTTATCAGCCTTATTATTTTCTGTAAAAGCATTCACCTTTTTATGGAATAAAAAACAATTTAACTAAAGCAAATCTTATTATCATAATTATACCATCTAAATTTTCAGCTCTCTAGAATCTGTATGAATACTGAACAATATTGTTGATGCATGTTTTCAATGTAAAGTTTTTATACCTCTTAACTTTTCATTATTGTTATGAATGAAGAAATAAAATGTGCCTCTGTGTATTGTGTCAAGATTGGTGGGAAGACTGGGAACCTTACCTATTGGAAGAGTTAAAAGGCATGTTTGGTACTGGTAGTCTCGTGTTGAAGCGGACTGTAGATCCATGACGCATGGACATGTTAGCTTATATATCTGAGGCATTTCTTCAGACAGCTGCAGTTTTGTGAATTTTTACACCTAGCTGATGTGCAATAATCAAATGGGTTACTTATTTTCAATCCAGTTTTCCATGAAAGGACTAAACACAGATCAACTCATTTCATCAGAGAAATAAGCAATATCTGAGGATAGTATTTAGCAGATTTATTAGTTTCTTAAGGATATTGAACTGGTGATATGGACTGATAATAACTATGGGACTTATGACCTTCATGTAGATAGATGTGAAATCAAGATTGCTTATGACAGTTCAAATTTGCACCAGTGTGATGTGGCCTGAGTTGGTGGGGAGCGGGTAGACTATTATGGAAGTAGTGGTGCAGTAATTTTAGCCTGTAAAGGCTGTATGGTTCATAAAATAAAATAATGTAGTACTCACTACTCAATAATGATTATTGAGGATCATGGAAAGAGTGGGTTTTAAGGTAATGGGTTCATGAATTTTTTTAGACTAATATATATCCTAACCCATTTCACTCATTAATTAAATGGGTGATTAATGGATAGCCCATTTAATATAGAATATATTTAGGATTTTAGGCACAACCTGCCCATCAAGCACCTCTACTGCATGCCCTAGCTCAAAGGGAAGTGTATAATCTCAAGTCCATAACATATTATTATGTTATAATTTTATAAAGGGATAATGTTATACATCATTTTTATAGTATTTTCAGAATGGTGTAAGAATTTATTCTAGATCATTTTGTCTGTTGATGATTTGATGTTCTCATATTTCAACCCTATTTACAGTGAGTGGAGGAGAAATGTTACAGTCATTGTTAACTATTTATTAACTGTCTACTCTGCTCCATATTTGGCATAGAATTGCTAAACTACTGGGCTATCCAAATTCTAACGTAAGAGAAAGCATCTCTTGCTGCAATGATGTTATTTGGAGCTGACATATTATGCTAAGACTGCCAGAACCATTATTATAAATTTATTTGGCTTTAATTCCTTCATAAACTTTATGAACCAGTTTGCAGGTGTTCACCTACTGACTTTTGCTTCTAATTGCACTACTGTAATATTAACCATAGTTTTATTTTCAACTTAATGCCAGGTAAAGCATGTAGACTGTTATACAGTGACAATTCATGAGCTAGAATGTGTCAACACAAGTTTCAGCTTTAAGTCAATGATGCGAGGTATTATTCCGATGTCTTTCTGAGTTTTTCCTCCATAACTCATAAGTCATACCAATTTATTGAACACCATCTTCCAGTCTTCATTAGTTTTTTCCATACTTATTATTCTTAATTCTGTTTCATCCAGCACCATTTCATGGGTTTGCTTTCTGGTTTGATGTGGAGTTCAGTGGCCCTGCAATATTTCCATCTAACATCGAAGCGCCTTCATCATTTGTTGAGCATTCTAATAGTCACAACACTGATGACAAACAGAGAAAGAAGCGTGCGAATCCCAATGATGCCCTTGTGCTGTCTACTGCACCTGAGGATCCCCCAACACATTGGCAACAGGTGCTTCATTTACTAATTACTCATGTTAACTTCTTATACTGTGAATGTAAACAATTGTACAGACGTGATTCAAGTCTTTGCATGTTAATCATAAGAGTTTTCTCCCAAAATGGTCCCTCGACTATCGCTCATTCTCAATTTTGCATTTCAACTTTTAATTGCACCCAATGTGGTCCCTTGACTTTTAAAAACTCCCCCAAATTGGTCCTCCGTTAGAAATTCTGTCTATTGAGTGTTAAAATGAATGGCATTTTCGTCCATTTACAAATTAATGCCTAATATACTCTGAAAAATAGTCGAGGGATCATTTTGGGAAAAACTCATTTATTTATTTCATTTTTGTTTATTTCCATTTTTTTAAGCCTATCAAATTAGAATTTTTATACATCTTTTTCTTACAAATATAAATAGTTAAAATCCACAATCACATCTCAAAAGTTTAAACCTTCTCTACAATTTTTTTCCTTCTGTCTATCCCTATCAAGTTTTACAATAAGTTTCGTAACTTTCATAAATACTCATATACTTTTTATTTTTATCTTTTTATGTTCATATATATATATATATATAAAATCATACTAAAAGTTCAATAGACAATCAATCACTATGTATTACATTAAATATTATTTTTATAGTTAAAATAACATTATTATTTTTTTTACGTACTTTGGTAAACAATTTTAACTTTCAAATTTAAGTTTATTAATATTCATATATTTTCTAAGATTTTGTCTTTGACCGAGAAGTGACACGTACTTCTCAGTTTCAAGAAGTGCTAGAAGCATAGCGATTGATTGTAAAAATAATAATTTTATTTTCAAAGGCATAGTGACCGAGAAGTGAAGCGTACATTTTGGGTGTCTAAACTAATAAAAATAGTAATGTTATTTTCAGTGGTAAAAATAATTTTTTTTTTTGAATGCTACTGACTCTATTACATTGTAGTATCTGTTTAAACATATTTTCTCAACCTAATGAAGCACACATAGTTAATAATATTTAATATGATACATAGTGATTGATTGTCTATTGAAGTTTTAGTGTGTGTGTGAACATAAAAAGTATACGAGTATTATATTTTAGACATAAGGAAAAAAATTGTAGAAAAAGTTTAAAATTTTGAGGTTTGATTGTGTTTTAACTATTTATATTTGTAAGAAAAAAATGTATAGAAATTCTAATTTGATAGTCTTAAAAAATGGAAATAAACAAAAATGAAATAAATAAATGAGTTTTTCCCAAAATGATCCCTCGACTATTCCCAAAATGGTCCCTCGACTATTTTTTAGAGTATATTAGGCATATAATAGGTAAATGGACGAAAATGCCCTTCATTTTAACCCTCAATAGACGGAATTTCTAACGGAGGACCAATTTGGGGGAGTTTTTAAAAGTCAAGGGACCACATTGAGTGCAATTAAAAGTCGAAATGCAAAATTGAGAATGAGCGATAGTCGAGGTACCATTTCGGGAAAAACTCTAATTCATAATCATGAGCTTTAAGGGCTATTGTTGTTTACGTCCCAGAATTTACGGGAAGCTGGGAACATGAATCATGCTTACGATCTTTCTGTTGTACCATTTTTCTGAATGCGACTTGTGCATGACTTGCATTTCATGTAGATTTTTACATTTGCAGTTGATTTGAAATAAAAAATGTAAGATTTTTGTAAATTTTCTTTTAACCCTCTTCTGCAAGCACAAAGTGGGAAAACATCTGATTCTAGCTGTTCAAATGTGGAAAAAATGTGCCCCACATGCTTCTTGCTGACTTTTGCAGACATTGATCTACTTCTACGATCCAATCGACGTTGAGCAAGATCAAGTTATCGAAGGCTCTCTAGAATTGTCCCAAAGCAAAGAAAACGCTAGGTTCATGAATATTCATCTGAAGTATTCGTAAGTTGAAGTTGAATGCTTGCTTTTACCATTTCCAATATCTAGCTTCTTTGTGTCTCTGGTTTGTCATGGAACCTTAAATTCATTTCCATTTTGATTCCTGCAGAGCGGATGGACGATTATTTGTTAAAGAATCAGTGATGCGATGAGTGCCAACCTAGGGTTTCTATTCGTAGATCTGTGCAAAATGTTTCTGCTGATTCTGCTCATGGATTATAGAGACCTTTTACTGCACCGGAGGAATGGATAAACAGCATTTTCACCGTCAGTTGGCAGTTTTTTCCCCTCAATGTCGGAACTGTAAGCTGTTAACAGTAAGTGTATTATTGTGTTGCGAGAATGTGTACTTTTCTTGAATATACTCAGGATAGATGTAGGATTCTAATGAACAATAAGTATTCACTATATATTGGCTTCTTTTGGTAATTATTACTCATTTGAGTTAATACCAGTTGGGTCCCTCGACTATTCCAATGTTCATCATTCATAGAGAACAGCTTATAATTTTGTGCAATTAATCATAATCATATATGCATGAAAACTCTGAATAAACATGTGAAAAGTGCTCTGTGTGCATGCATGCAGATTTCATAGAGGAGTATAGTTAAAAACATGTACACCAAAAAGGGGCATAACTGCCTAAGAAAAAGGATTGTTAATTACTAGGAACCCATTAGAATGACACACAACTACACAAGTGGATACAGGGAAATAAAACCACTCATTCTTAAAAGCTTATCTCTTCAACAAATGAGTTAACATTAGAGCAACCACATTTGTGGTTTTTTCAGAGGTTTTGAAAGAATAAAGTCAAGGGGAGGCTTTTTCACAAATGAGAAAGTTGTTTTCCTTTTTTTGTTTTTTTGTTTTGTTTTTTTTGTTTTTTTTGTTTTTTTGTTTTTTTTGTTTTTGGAGCTTTTATTATTGCAAAAAATATTTTTTCAAGTTTGGAAAGAATTACGCGTGGGACCTCATTTGAAAAAACCACATTTTTACCATATTTTTTACCTACGCGATCCTTCTCATTTGAATATATAAGTATAAATATAAATATAAATATAAATATAAATATAAAAATATATATATATATATATATATATATATAAATATATATATATATAAATATATATATATATATAAATATATATATATATATATATATATATATATATATATATATATATATATATATATATATATATATATATATATATATATATATATATATATATATATATATATATATATATATATATATATATATATATAGATGAAGGTTCAAGTGCGGCGGTGCTGTTAGGTGTGGCGGTGCAGTCAATTGTAGGCCATTAGATTAGATAAATTCAATGAATCATATTCGTTAGGGCTTTTTCAATATTTTCGCGCACGTTCTCACTCTACGCGAACTGCAAGGTGCAAGGCTAAAGTCGTCACTGGGCACTAGAAGAGGGCAAATCATAGTGTTGTGTGTTTTATGTTCGTTATTGGTGCATTATTAATCTTACTCGGGTGTATTTGTAGATTCGTGTTGGTGCCTTCCCATGCGGTAAGTGCGACCGCACTAATAGTTATACAAATATACACCATCCATGTTAGAAAATGCACACCAAAAAAACATGCACAAATTCGGTACGCATCACCCGAACACACCATTAAGTATGAATAAAAGCACCACACAGTGTTCAAAAATACACCATTGGGGTGGTGAGTTATATGGTGTATTTTTTGAGTGTGTTGTGTGTTATTTTGGTGTATTTGTGCATTTCATTGTTGTGCTTTTCCTAACACTATTAGTGTCTTTTGTTAACACTGTTGGTGTATTTTGTTAAACGACCGATATAAATGACCACTATAATTACCATAATACCCCCCCCCCCACTTACCAAGACGCGCTTAAATCTTCAAATCTTCAGAAATTAGCCGCTGCCGTCAGATTAAGCAAAATGGACGATGCTGATATGACCGCACCGCCGCACCTAAGGACCCTGCCGCATATGAGCCTTATATATATATATATATATATATATATATATATATATATATATATATATATATATATATATATATATATATATATATATATATATATATAAAACTTTAAATTTTATTTTTGATATAGTTGAAATTGTTTTAAAATAATTATTTTGAATTAACATATTGAAACAACTTATTAACCAATAATTTATGTAATATAAAAAATTTCAAATATTTAGGTAATATGAATTATTTTATTTTTAATATTTTAAAAATGGGTTTGTATAATTTGAGCTTTTATTTTCATTCGAGGCTGGAACCCTAGACCTTCCACAAAAGGAAGCAACTTTAAAAATTTTTAACTGAGGTTTGCACGAAACCGGGAGAAAATGCCCCACACCAATGCATCTTATAATTGATATGTGCTCTACAATAGGGCCAACACTCACAATCTTCTATATCAAACTTCCACCCACAAATTGGCATTTATTAAGAGAAACCTTTCCAAGACGGAGGAGATTTACACTACCAAACTGATCTTTCTTCAAGTTACACTTGTGTAAATCCAGAACCACAAGTGTATTGATAACTAAAAACTTCTTTAGGAATAAAATACAAAACCTCAGAAGGGGATAAATTGAAAAGATCTACCAATTTGAAGCCTTAGGTTGAAAACAATCATCTTCATAACAAGATCTAACCAACTATGCAGATTTGGTGTCAATCTCTCAATATTAGGGAAACATATACTTAGGCTGAAATTTTGTATAGAAGCCTTCTAACTGGGCATTGACCTATGCAAATATCAATATGATCCAAGAAGAAAATTCAGCTAGGATAAGAAAGCCAAATTTCACACAAATGCTTGGATAGAATATAAGTATGACAATATCTTTGAACAGAAGAAAGGAAAGAATATATGAATAAGCGGGTCAGGCAACATTAGGAAATAGTCCATCATTTTTCTTCTTCAGGTATAGGTATCAGATCTTTCTTTTTATTTTTTACCTGCAAATATCTCTCAAGTTTTCAAAGAAAAGGTTTATAATGCTGCAGAGTGCAATGTTGCGTCCAATTGCTAATTTTGTTTAACTAATGTAGTCCTATAAGGAACTTGGTTATCACTCAATTATAAAAGACAACAATCACCTTATGAAGTTGGTCTCTCTTGAAACGATGGAAATAAAAAAGGGCTCTGCCTTTGAAAATATTTTTGAAGTGTAGATCCAGAATATTCAAACATCATGCTGGAATTATCTTGCATAAAAGGAGGTGATATATGGTACAAGATTCGGTAACATCATATTTTTCTTTTCTCTAGAATATGGTAAATATGTTAGATGTGAGAAACATTCTCATTTCATTAGGAGAAACACGCATTGTTCAGATGCTTGAGGATTCAGAAGTTATAATGCGACCTCATGATGTTTTTTCATTTCCTCCATTCAAAGATATTGTCCGTACTTCTACCCTATCCAAGCATTGGTATGAAATTGGGCTCTCTTACCACAGTGCTGAACTTCATTTTAAGTTCTGTATGTGTGATTGGGGAAACTTCTTGGATCGTATTGAAATTTAGGTCAATGTCTGGTTAGGAAAGCTTCTATACAAAATTTCAGCCTAAGTATTTATTTTCCTAATATTGAGAGATTGACACCAAATCTGGACAGTTGGTTAGATCTTGCTACAAAGAAGAATGTTTCCAAGCTAAGACTTTGGATTGGTAGATCTTTCTAATTTATCCTCACTTCTAAGGTTTTGTATTTTATTCCCAAAGAAGTCTTAGTTGCCAATACACTCGTGCTTTTGGATTTACATCAGTGTAACTTGAAGGAAGATCAGCTTGGTAGTGTAAATCTTTCCCATATTGAGAAACTTTCTCTTAATAAATGTCAATTTGTGGGTAGAAGTGTGAGAGTGTTTGCCCTATTGTAGAGCACAATTATAAGATGCATTGGTGTGGGGCATTTTCTCTCTGTTTCGTGCAAAACTCAGTAGTTCTGATACAAATCTAAAAATTGATAGCTCTAATATATATTAAGAGCTATTAATTTTTAGATTTGTATCAGAGCTACCCACATATTCTAGTATTAGAGCTATCAATGTATCAGCTAAATAGAAAATTCAGTAAATTCCCCTCCATTCTTAATAGTTGCACTCGAAATCTTGACATCTCTTGATCGCCCCTGGCTTAACTTCAACACATCAATGCAACGGAATTTAGACAACGTACATTCCACTTGCTTCACCATACCACGATCCAATTTCAGTTTTTTTTCACATTAAACAAAGTCGACATGTAAATAGAACATGTTGTTGAACTGCTACATGAAAACTTGTGAAGATTCGGCATTGATTTCAATTTTCTTTAGCTCGTTGCACTGGTAGACTTTAAAATTCTTTAGCAGATGTTTGTATGAAATAGAGAGCAAATGTCCCATACCAATGCAGCTTCTAACTGATATGTACTATACAATGGGACAAGTCCTCATAATCTACTGTACCAAACCATCCCCACGAATTGGCATTTACTAAGAGACAACTTCCCAATACGGGGGAGATTTACTCTCCCAATCCGATCTTCTTCCAAGTTGCATTGATGCAAATCCATAACTAGAAGTGTATTCCCAACTAACACTTCCTTGGGAATAGAATACACAACTTCAGATGGGGGAATAAGGTCAATTAATCTACCAATCCTAAGCCTTAACTTGGAAACATTCCTCTTCATGGCCATATCTAACCAACTGTTCAACTTTGGTGTCAATCTTTCAATTTCAGGAAAACATACACTTAAGTTGAAATTTCATATAGAAACCTTCCTAGCTAGGCATTGATTTATGCAACTTTCCATATGATCCAAGAACTTCTTCCGATGACTAAACTTTCCATGGCATATGCGAGTATCAACGTGAATTCTTTTCGTTAGAACTTGAAGGGCAATCTCTTATCAAAAGGGTGAAAAATATTTTAATTGAAAATTTTAACAAGTCAACCAATTTTAATTCCACTTTCAGTTTCACCCTCCTCGCTAAACGTCAAATGCATTGGTGTGTCGCATTTTCTCTCTGTTTCTTGCAAAGCTCAGTGGCTCTGATACATTGGTAGCTTTGATACAAATCTAAAAATTGATAGCTCTGATACAAATCTAAAAATTGATAGCTCTGATATCTATTAAGAGCTATCAATTTTTAGATTTGTATTTGAGCTACTCACATATTCTAGTATCAGAGCTACCCAAATAGATTTGTATCAATTAAAATAAAATACCTGTGTATTAAAAATAATAATAATAATAAAATACCTGTGTGATGCTGGATTGTACGGAGGTGGAGATGGAGACTGTGTGAGAGAGGTCGCAACAGAGAGACGACCGAAATGACGAGTTGTTGCGACACAGAGGGAGAGCCCGCAACAGAGACCACCGGAATGGCGACTGGTCGCGACAAAGGGAGATGCTGCAACAGAGACGTCCGGAATGGTGACTTGTCG